ACTGTAAACAATGTGAGAAAGCCTTTAATCTAAGGTCTACCCTACTCAACATTTTAGGAATCATTCTAAAGAGAAAGAGCAATAATATAAAGTTTTCATCCAAAGATTCAACCATGATTTATCATTGAGAATGATAAAATAAGGTTTTACAAATTATGAGCCATATGTCAAAGTGTATATCTTAATTTATATGGCATACAACATCTAGTAATTATTGCTGAATACAAGCCCAGCAGATATAAAGAATCTGAGAAAGCTTACTCAGTATGCAAACCTTACCCGACATCAGAATTCATACTGGAGAAAATCAGTACAAATATAAACAATGTCCTAAATGTTTAATCAGCATCCATAGTTTATTCCTCACATTTGAATTCATTCTAGAGGGAAACCTTAAATTTGAAGAATATGGGAAATCGTATAATTGGACCTACAGCCTCAGTCAATATTAGGGATTGTAATTGGGTAGAAATTGTACATTCATGATATAGGAGGGAGGACTTTTGTTCAAAATATAGAGTTTACAAATCTCCAAGGAATTTCTGCCTTTAGATGACTTTAAAATGTAAAAACTTGCCCTAACAGATTTGGCTCAGTGAAAGAAGCGTCAGCCTGCGAACTGAAGGGTCCCAGGTTTGATTCCGGTCAAGGGCATGTACCTTGGTTGTGGGCACATCCCCAGTAGGGGGCGTGTAGGAGGCAGCTGAATAGATGTTTCTCACTATCACTCTCCTCCCTTCCTCTCTGTAAAAAATCAATAAAATATATTCTCAAAAAAGATGTTTCTAACTCTCTATCCCTCTACCTTTCTCACTGTAAATAATCAATAAAATATTTTTTTAAATGTAAAGACTTGACCCAAGTATGTAATTATGAATTTTAAATTATTACTGAATTCACACTAGGTAGGGAGCCAAAATGCCTTTCAGGCATTTTCTCACTTTCTTGAATGTAGGTATTGCTCTAAATCAATGTTTCCTACACAGTGTACTCCAAACTTTAAATGTAGTTAGTTAATATTTTGTATGCTTGCTTGCCCTAGCCGGTTGGGCTCGGTGGATAGAGCGTCAGCCTGCAGACTCAAGGGTCCCAGGTTCGATTCTGGCCAAGGGCATGTACCTTGGTTGCAGGCACATCACCAGTGGGGAGTGTGCAGGAGGCAGCTGATCAGTGTTTCTAACTCTCTATCCCTCTCCCTTCCTCTCTGTAAAAAACCAATAAAATATATTTTTAAAAAACATAAAAATATTGCTGCTTTGAGATGCTACAAACTCTTCTCTAGGCTACTCCTGTGTTGCCTTCCAGCTGAATAATAAATTACTCTTCATTTGGTTTCTAAATATTTCATATCTAAGTATTAACTATGTTGCCTTAGTTTCTATAATACAAAATAGGTTAAGGAGGAACGTGTTTGGTAACATAAATGAGGCTCTTGTTGGGAAGCAGTGAGGTTGCAGGGGAAGCTTCGGGTTGTGAGGACGACGTGAGATTGTCCGTCAGCAGAGGGAAGAGCAGCCCCTTCCCTGGGGTCTCCCCGAGGCTCGCTGGGGGAGAAGGACGACCAGGTAAGAGCGTTTAGTTCACAACTTGTACGTCATCAAGCCTGTCGTCCCAGGGCACAGAGGCGGGT